GGATTCCAACAGGTTTTCTTCAAAATCAGGTTTCCGGTTTTATACCTAAAGAAATATTTGATAAAACTTGGTTTTACATATGGATACATCTGTATCAAGGGTATCCAGCCAGGCCGATTTTTCCAAACAATGTGATATTTTCTAAAAAAACGTTTATTTTTGTTTGAAAAACGTTAGAAATGGCTAAGCAATGATAACTATTGATGAAAAAATAATTTATGATCAAAAAGTTGATTCCAAAGTCTTCAAGTCAATTTCAAGAGCTTGTTGAAGATATGTCAATGCTTGAGAATACTCCCCTTGATGTTTGTAAACTCCGCCAATGTTGCTGTAAAGCGTACCGATTTTAGGGTTGTTTGGCAACGTATCATTTATCTGTCGTCTGAAATATTGTTTAGCTTTAGCGTATTCACCGATTTGTGTTAATAGAAGTCCCAACATGTTTAAATCATATGGTCCATCAGTTTCTTCTCCTATCCTATCTAAATGATTCAAAACATAGCGAAGGCTGATCATAATTACCCCAGTGGGGTAATTATGATCAGTCAACGCATACCGTTGTGATAATTATGATCAGTACAGCCAAAATGATGAACTTAAACAAGTTCGCTTCAACGGAGAATTTTAAGCAAACAAATTAAAAATTAGTTCATTTTGTGGAGAATTCTTTGCTCTATTTCTCATGTGTACTGACTCGGCTTAAAGAAAGAAAGAAGAATTCTGTTAGACAACGCCGGGGTGAAAAGCAATAAGTTTCTTTAAGTTTCACTCAGTCGACTTAGTTAACCATATTAGTATTTTTTTATGTATTAAAGTTATATATTACATTAAATTGAATCAGGAGATTCACCTTGAAATTCCTCAATTTCTTCCACAACCTAATCTACAGATATAAACGATAAACAAGCAGAATTTTTTAAATAACATCGAACTTCATGATCATCAACGAATGGTTGTTCAAAGCTTAAATCGTATGCAAAAAGATCAGATAGTATTATAATTATTTCAGGTGTCACAATTTATACCTAAGTCTGTCAATAGGTACTGATATTTTTCATAAAGCTGGTTTAAAATGAAATAAACATCCGCTGATTGCTATTGTTGTTGGTAATTTTTGTTTAATTACAGTTTCAACGACTTTCTCAAAATTAGTTGTAATGATGTTGGACGTTGTACTTTGAGTAAGATTCATCTATGGGAGGGAAGTCTCAAATACCAAAGTTCAAATCTCAGAGGCTCATCTATCGCTGTACCAAATTTCTCGTATGAATTAATTTGTAATGTTATTTATATTAAACAATTATACAAATTTTTTTCATTTACTTTAAAGTGATCGATGTTCAACATTGATCAAACCGTACGATGAAAATAAACTGCGAACTTACACTTGTCTTGAAATTGTGCCACATACAATAAGAGAAACTATACACCCTATTCAATAATGTTATCAACTGAAGGTTTTAGTTAGTGTGCTACTTGCTCATTAACGGTAAACATTTCCGGACTAATCATGTATTGGATACTAAAAGTAAATGAAATACAATTGTTTGTCGTTTATTTATTGATAGATCATAGATGTATACAAGGAAGAACATTTTTAATTTTTTTACTGAGATTGTTCAACGAAGTTAACTATTTAGAAGGTTTAACTAAAATATGTCAAATGCAATTATTCATAAGTATCGATGGGATCAGTGCATCCTATTTATACATATTTCAATAATTGTTTTTGAATCATTGAATTAAGCGATGATGAAAAGCATTTAAATTTTTGACTACTTTTTTTCTCTTATTAATTTTTGTTCTTGAATAGCATGATGTTCTTATTTTTTCTATTAATATTTAATGTTTGATTATTAATATTTGATGAATTTTTCTTATTTTGATATTAAAACTGACAGGTGATAAAAAACAAAATGTATTACTTTCTACAATGATATTTAAAATATGAAAATTATGAGAAAAAATGTTTATTTGTAAAATTGCTATAGTTAAGTCATCGTATTGTATCGTTTTAATATTCTCTAAAATAAATTCAAGTTTTTAATGGTCATATTTCTGATTATTTTTTTCAAAAACGATTTTTTTTTTGACACATATCAAGGATTTGTCACTGTCTTTTTATCAAAAAATCCTTGGTTCTGTAATTTTACTTGAAATAAAACCGTATTCATTAGGCCAACAGTAGAAAGTCTAGCAAACATTTATCTGCTAAAATTGAGCCACTTGCCTTAAAAGACAAACCTCGTTATACCGGAATTTCAGAATATACCTTTTTTAAGTCGACATATTGATTGAAACAATCATTAATAAGATTTGTACTTGTCTACTTCAATAGATTATTCTCTTAGTGTTCTTGTCTTATTGAGTGACATTAAGTGTGGGGGTAAAGTCAAAGTTTTTCAATGATTACATGTCTAAGAATTTAAAAGAAGTATAAATAGATGATCTTTCGTTAAGTAAATTGATCATGAGTTCAATGGATTATTGAGAAATCATTAGAATATTTAAGCAAAAAATTATTCTTTAATACACAATGACAATAAAAATATTTTAATTGATAAAAATAAAACGGCAACCGCCAGAAGAAAAAATAAAACTAAAAAATGCCACTGAATACATTAAAAAAATGCACGGTATCCTTCTTCTCATTATGTGTATACTGTTCAATAAATAGAACAAATCTTTTTAAACACACACACACACACAACCAGTATGTATACAAAGATAGAAAACGTGAAAATAGGAAAATGCTGTTCAATACAGCATAGAAATGAGGGATAGAAACAAACTAAACGATGGAGATAATTAAGAAATAGTAGAATAGATTTTATTAGGATTATACAAGAGGAAAAAAGAGAGAGACAAAGAGAGGTCCCACATGTTTCTATATCTATCTAATAAATCGTTAGCAGTTTATACGGTACAGAAAACGTGATCTGTCTAATATGATAGTGTAACATTAATAACTGAGACTAGAAAAGACTGAATTATTATTATTATTATTATTATTTTTGATATTGTGATATCTTGAATTTCAGCTCGTTGTTTTCTATTGCTTGTACCTGAGAGATTCTATTTCAATATATCATGCATGACTGGGACATTTCAAATAAATTTTTATCTAATTAAACAAAATATAGATTATAGTTTTGACGTTTCATTAATTTCTTGGGCACTCTTAATTCTTATTGTATCATTCAATTGTTCTCCGTCATGATGTCCACCTTCTTCAATATCATGTCCGAGATCACCTTTACATAAATGATCGACAATTCCGGCACCAATAGCATCTCCAAGAATATTAACCGATGTTCGAACACGATCTCTGGAAAAAAAAGTGAAATAAAATTAATTGAACATTTCTGTAAAGATTATTTTGCACAGAATTACTATTTTACCATCATGGCATGAAATTGAGCTTACATATATATTCACTTATATTCAAGTTTAATCTTCTTTTTCAATTTGTTATATATTGTAAATAAAGGCTAGTGTTATATTTTACTTTTTGTTAGTGTTGATGTTTGGGATTAATATAAATTCGATCAGATGAGAAAAAAAATAAAAAGAACAAAAGTAAACTTACAAAGCCCAATCAATGGCAAGTATGATTGTTATTTCTTTGGCTGGTATATTTACTGCTGACATAACAAGTAACATTGTAACTAAACCGGCAGATGGAATTGAAGCTGCACCAATGGATGCCACAGTAGCTGTTAAACTAAAATTGAAAATATTCTTGAACAGTAGACAAAGAGAGAAAAATCAAGTAATTGAAATTAAAACTGTTAATTATTATTTTATAATCTTATGTATTATCAAATATTATTACCTGACAACAATTAGTTGACCGATGCCAAGATGACGTCCCATTAATTGCGCAAGAAAAACAGGTGCCACTGCTTCGTACAATGCTGTTCCATCCATATTTACTGTTGCTCCAATTGGCAAAACAAAACGTGTAACACGTCGATCTAATTTTAAATTTTCTTCAAGACATCGAAATGTTACCGGTAATGTTGCTGCGCTACACAAGAATAAATATTGAGATTATTTAAGTGTACAACATTAGATTGTAGAATATTATTACCTTGATGCAGTACCAATACCAGTAAGCCACGCCTGTAACACGCCTCGATAAAACAGAAACGGATTTTTCCTTGTTACCACGAAAAATATAAGTGGTAATGTAATGAGCGCATGTATGGCCAAACCGACTAATACTGTGACAGCATACATGCCCAGACTCTTTGCTAATTTGGCTAAATCCTCAATTTCCAGTATTTTTCCGGCAACAAGAAACATAATACCAATAGGAGAATACCTAAAACAAAATTAAAGTTAATCGGAAATGTGTAGAAAGTAATTAAACATTCACTAACGAACCACATGACAAGTTTAATTAATTTCATAACAATTTCATTAAGTATAATAAAAAAATGTAACATTAGTTCACCACGTCTTCCCAAAGTTCCAATAACAATACCAAATGCACAACAAAATGTAATAAGTCCTTAAACATAGAAAAATGATATAATTTTTGAGGAAAATTAGTATAAAATTCAAAATAACTAACCCAGAAAGTTGGCTCCGGCGATATATCTTGTATGAAATTTTACTTTTGTCCGATTTATCCCACTGTCATTAAAAAATTCATACTCTTAAATACGAGAAAAGAATTTCAATTGATTGATTGAAACAAATAGATGTATATATACCTCTTGTTGTTTTCACTTGTTCTAATCCAGCTTGAATAATATTTTCAGCAAACATGTTGCTAAAATTACAGAAAAATGAGAATAAGCTCTTGTTTGTGGAAAATTTTTTAAAAAACTCATTCACCGTAATAAATCAAATATAGCATCAAGTGTGTTCACTTGATCGGCTTTCGGATCTTCATCGACAATTTGTGATCGTACTTGAGCCGCGTTACTTCTTTCACCTGGTTTGATTGTTGACACTAATACAATGCCTAGTATAGCTGCCAAAACTGTTGTACAAAAATAGTATGTCAACGCGTAAAGACCCATTTTTCCACTAGATTTTGGGTCGAGGACGGCAAGACCTAAGATTGAATAAATATGTAGCAATAGAATAGACTATAATTTATAGACATACGGTAATATTACCTGTTATCAAACTGGACGTTATAAGTGGCAATATCAACATTTTGAGCATTCTCATTAGAATATCACCAGGAAATGAAAGTATCATTATTGATTCTGGTGATGGCTTTGCTAATCGAGTTGTAAAACCAATTAACAGACCAAGAATTACTCCGGCAATTGTTAAAGTGAGTAGTAAATTTTTACGTAAAAAACGAAGAACCTGATGTAGAAAAAAGAAATAGTTTTATGATATGGAATATGAACTTTTAAAATTTATCGACTGTCACAAACCTTTTCAAACGCAGTCTTGGGAGGTGGGCGAGACCGCGGATGATCTTCATTTAGCATTGCTATCGTCTGGTCATGCTGATCGTACATTATTGGACTAAAAAAAAAAAGTAGAATGTTGCTGACTATGACTTTTATGACAGTCGGATGTGTATAAATTTCACATGTTTGGCTCGTATTAGGTAAAGTGTTAATGGCATTGTACGATCATCAGCCACTTTTGACATTAAAGTCTTTTTAAATAGAAGTAGTCATAACGTGGTGTAGCAACATCCTTTTGATTTGAAATTTTCTGAAACATTGTTGGAACGATAATAACATTCTTCACACAAAGCTTCAAGCACGATGTTTGTCTTTACATATGAACTCTACAAATGACGGGCTTAACTTTTATAGAAATACTTTATGTACTTTTTGAGCTTGAGTTTTTATGCCAGCAGGTCCCGATTCTCATGTACTGAATACTCAATCTTAAGGGTCTGTGCGAAGAATGTTATTACAGTTCCGACAATGTTTCCGGAAAATTTCAAATCAAAAGGATGTTGCTACATCACGTTATGACTACTTCTATTTAAAATGACTTAAATATCAAAAGTGACCGATGATCGTACAATGTCACTAGCACTTCACCTAATACGAGCCAAACATTTATGTCATAGACATCTGGCAGCCACAGCTACATGTTGGTGCACGTATGACGTGTTGGTGTTATCTGTTCTAGAAGTTGAATTTAATGATATAAAACTAAAAGTAAAATATTTCAAGAACTACATAGCCAAATAGGTCGAAACTTGTTGGGTGCTCAGCATATACTAAAACCCATACAACATTTTCAACCAATAGTGATCATGGTTCTTGAAATACAGGATGATGGGAGACTTTTGTTCCTTGCTGAACTAGTAACTTTTCGATGTCAAAGTATGCATTTCCTTTTGATAGAAATATCCCCACAAGTACGTAGTATTCTTTGCTTCTTTACGTTTTTTTTCTTCTCTGTAACATATACACCCAGTATCACCATCATTACCGCAAAATATAGGATGATAACAGCAGCAATGTTGGTGTACAGTCTTCATGTCATAACATAGAGAATAAAACAGAAAAATGGAATAATAATGACATGCTTGCTATTTGCACGTCCATATTCCTGTTAAACTCAAAATCCAATGTCTTTATATACATTATATATTCTCATTAGTTCAGATATCTTTTCTGTGAAACTTACTCATTTATCTCTACTTGTTCATGAAGTAATTAGAAAGAAAAATAATTTTTTTATTGCAATTCTTCTGATATGATAACTTGGTATGTTTATTTCCTTTTATATAAAAATTGTAAATCATAATTGAGATAATTCATAAGTTAAGCTTTCCTGCTTACGAAATACATCTGTCTTTATCATTTAAAAAGTGAAATCTTATTTACAACAAGTTTTTCTTTTTCAGACCTTTTCTACTTTTCTTCTTTCTCTCTTTAACGATATTTGGTTTGGTATTCGTCAAAAAAAGTTCTTTTTATTCTAATATTATGAAATATAGAACAATGTAATCCTTAATATATGAATAATTAATTAAAAGAAAAAAAGTTCACACACTCCTATTACTTGTTGCCCATTATCTATTCATTTATTACAGTTCTATTCAATAAGATTCTTTCATGTTTTTATGTATTAAGTAACGAAAGAAAAAAAGTAATTTAGGTTACGAAATGCAGAAAAAAAAGACACCATTAGCAAAAGAAAATTTTTTTTGTACACCGTATTTTCATTCTTAGTATAGTAATAGGAAGGAAAAAAAAGACAGAGATGGAACAGATACGCAACTATGGCATCAATAACTATAAGCGTGTAAATTGACTCCATTCAGATTTTCATATGGAATTTTCTCTATCTTTTCTTTTTTTTGTTATGGTGTATGCAAGTGTAAAATATTTATCGTGGTGTGTTTTCTGTACATTGATAATCGCAAAACATTTGTTAATCGATTTTGGCAGAAATTGATTCTTAGTTTTAGTTAAAAACAGGAAACTCCACTTAGTCGTCCTCCGGCAAATAGAAAAAGTCGTCAACTCAAATTGGATGAATAATAAATGCAAACGTATAAGTTGCAAATAAGATTAAATATACAATACTCTATTATATTTCAATGATTAATATACACATATAGGGGTATTTTTAGTTAAAATGGCAGTAGTCTTTTGTGATTGTATTTTTAAGAAAATTTAACTTTCATATTTTCCGTTTCGACAAGTAAATGAAGTAAACTTCAAATGTCATGCAAACTTAAGAGAGGAGATTAAATTAGTACAAGAGAAACTATTTTTATATTTTATTAGTTTTCTATTATACTTAGATAGGCTCTATTATGTTTAATTGGGTGTAAATCAATAGGATTATAGATATTTTTCGATACATCGAATAAAAAACAGAGTCATATTTCCACATGAGAGAAATAGAGACAAAATCATTTATACGTTCTATCAATAAATACATTTTAACTAGACACTTCTACTTTCGACGTAAAAAAACAATGAGGTTATGTCATATATCTCATCTATCATACAATTATTTTTAAGGACTTTTTATTAACAATATTTTTTTTTATCCAAGAAGGAAGAAAGTATTTTCTAGACGACCTAAAGAATTAAATAACAATATTACAATTATCTATATCTTGGCGTGTATCAGAAATGATAAGATATTATGGTCGAACTTGAACATAACCCTTAAAGCTTATCTTTCTGACAGTCAGTAACATATAAAAACTAATTTATGTATGTATTTTCAATGATATCATTTGGATATCTTCTCATATGTTTCCTAATCGGTTTCTAACATCAGAGTGTATCATACAACTTAATACGTAACCCGTCAACCTTTTTACATGATTAAGCCTTAAAATCATCGAAGCGCACATAACAGACGTTGAAATATATACATTATATATGTCAACTGATTAACAAACCAAGGGAATTGGGTACCATTCATATTAGAATATCATGACAAAATAATAAAAAATACTTAATCTAATTTTAGAATGAGAAAATTTCATTAAGATATATAATGTAGGTTTCACACGTTTAAACAAAATTGTGTTTTAAAACAGGTACAGCTAATAAGTTCATAAAAAGAAAAATGAAAGTGTATACAGAGAAAGATTAGAATTCATTTGCATTTGTTCTTTGTACTAAGTGATCTTAAGAATTGAAAAATTTCCTCGTTTTCTCTACTTTTAGGTTAAATAGAGAAAAAAACATCATATGTCGAGTGAATCTATGATAAATGGATGATATAGAAATAGCATCATACCTACTATTTTTCATGGCTTTTGCTAGATGGCATCTCTATGTCTAACTATATTGAAACACAATAAATTAAAGGAATTGATGATCTGACGTGCTACATGACAATCAATTTAGACATCTGTTATGTAAAAACAATGGCTATGAATTCTAACACTTGATGATGTATTCATTTTATATTGAATGTTTTGCTCCAAAGGGAAAAATTCTTTATTGGGATTTACTACTGGAAGAAATAAACAAGTGTATTGTTGATTCCTAATTACATTGAAGAAAAAGAAAAAAAAACTCTGCAATCTTCAGTTCTTTTATAATTCAAAACAAAAAGTATATTCATACTTTCTTTTTATACACAAATTTCATGTCATTCTAAATTCACAAAACTATACAGATGCTCAACTAGGGAAATAGAAATAAAATTATCACAGGTCATCGTTGAAAGACGACGGGAAAAAAAAAACAGAAAAATAAAAATATTCAAAACTGTGTAATATCTGATCAAATGGGAATCCTAAAACTACATATGATACTATAATATACAAAATGATCTACCATAGCATTAGAAATTTCAAATATTTTACACTATGACAAGTGTGCATATTTCATTATCATTGACTTTTCACGCTAGATAGTATATCAAATTATAATGTGTCATAGATAGATATGAAAAAACAAACGCGTTGACATAAAGGATAACAGGCAAAAGTTTATGTATATCACAAATAATAGACAGTAAGTCAAATCAATTTTATCAACGGATGTTCAAACAAAATTATTTTTCGTCTCATATATGATATCTTATGGATATAAATTGATTTCTTTTCGTATTGATATTTATACAAACACTAATAAAACGTAGCCTACAACTGTCTACATACTCGAAAAATTGAAATGTAGATGAATAAATAAAGGCTAAAGATACTTTTGCAGATCGAAACAGAACGCCTTGTTCAGATTCACTTCTTATCTGTGACTAACTCTGCTCAATTTTATCTCTTGACTTTTTAACAGTATAACTGATCATTTCTCACTACAGACTTCAAAATCACATCCATTCACAAAAATTTTTTTATTTGTTTAACAAAAGCAACGATACACAATTTTTCAGAATACTTACTCTTTCACGAGATTTTTAACCATATTCCCAGTAAATAAATTAAAGATAAACGCTGTTGTGTTGCATATTTATTGGCACTGTTATCAGCTAGTTATTGATTTGATCTCTAGGAAATAATAATAATAAAGAAATGGTGATTAGACTCGTTGTATGAACTTATTTATAAAAATATATCAAATTTTTTTCGCATAAAACGGAAAGAGCAAATGCAAATAAAGAACGTTTTGTTTTTATCTAACAAAGGTTATTAACTGAAAGGTTTAGTTTCAGAATCTATACTAAGCGTATCTTTCTTTCTTTATGCTGTTTTATTTTTTCTCTGTAACATATACACCCAGTGCCACCACCATCACCGCAAAATATAGGATAATAACAGCAGCAATGTTGGTGTACAGTCTTCATATCATAACATAGAGAATGAAACAGAAAAATAGAATAATAATGACATGCTTGCTATTGCACGTCCATATTCGAGTTAAGTTAAAATTCAATGTCTTTATATACATTGTATATTATCAGCTCCGAATCAATAATTTGGCACAGATTTCAGTTAATATTATTTGATACAGAAATAGTTCAGCCTTGAAAATAACTCTAAAGTTCTCTCTTCTCAAACCTAGTTTCATTATTTTTTCATTTATTTACGAAAAAGAGACAGCTGTTATGTACAGAA